TCACTATTACGCTACCAACAAATCAGCATTCTTGATGGTAAAACGAACTTTAATATGAAACCTTTTATCAGTAAAAAAACGTAAATAAATTGCATTTAGATTTTTCAAATTTTTCTCACGTCAGCACTAAATATAATTATTAAAGTATTTATAAATTCCTGATGTGAAACTAAAATTCATGACTTAGATAAGCAATTCGCACGGAAACATCATCTGTATATATATACATATATATATATATATATATATATATATATATATATATATATATATATATATACGTAAAAGCGTTACTTTAGGTTTTAAATGCATTTTAAAAATGAAAAACATTTTTAAAGTTTAAATTTTATTTTTAATTTCAAGCTAGCTTATTAAAACTAATATTTCTAATAAGTAAAATAATTTGCTTTATTTTACACCCAACTGGGATGATTTAGTTTTATTTTCTGTTTTAAATCCCTAAAATCGCCCACGCTGTCAAATCTCGAAGCACATCATAATTCTCTTTATTAAAATTTTTTCAAAAATAGAATATCCTTTTCTGAAACTTTATTTGAAGAAGATTAACTGATTTAAAGTTTAATTAATCTGGATTAAAATAAATATTACTTACTTTTTGAGTCTAAAATACTGCAGTAAATCTATTTTTAACACGTAGGTCTGTGTTCTTATGTAGTGTTGACATATTTATCGTAAACCCGATGTTGGCTAGATTTATTTAAGTGTGAAATATTCGTAGTAAAATTACATGTCGAATAAAACGTAAACGCTTTTTTTAGATAATTTTTTTAACTCCTTAGTAATCTTAAAAATTATAAATATTTTTCAAATTTTAATATTTTATTAAATTTTAGGTAATTTCACTTTATAGTCTTAGTAACGAAGACGCTTGTTGAGGAAATGTTAGAAAATTACTAATAGATTTTATAGTTACTCTAGTTACTACTTTTATTTTCTCATGTTGTCGTGTCTGGACATCCATATTTACAAAAATCGGCACGTTTATACACACAAGAAAAATTGAAAATTCTTTTTTAAAATACCGTGGGTCACTGAATTGTTGTAAGCTTTTCCATTTATGATTAATAAAATTGAGCTGTTATTTTAAAATATATCACATGGCCGATACAAATTAATACGGAATTTGAAGATCAAAAACTTTATAAATTATTTTAATTAAATTTTTTTAAAAATTAAAACAATTCTTGTAAAACTTCATTCTTCATCAATTTTCTTTCTTAAGACAATAGCATCCATAATATATTTTGTTCATAAAAGCAATTAAAATGTTGTCTAATTCAATAATTTCTTGTCGCATTTTTATTTTACGATTCAGAGAAAATTTTCTATAAATGGCGCGGGTGGGAGCTGATCCAAAATGTTGATGATTTAAATTCTCCTTGAACTTTTCCTATTAATCAATATAAACAAAAAAAAAGAATTTCTTCAAATTTCATAGAATTTAATAAGTTCAAAAAATATGTAAAAACATTTAATAAATGTAAAAAAAATACTAAGATTTTCTAAAAACGAATAGTTTCAAAGATAATTTCATTCATTTGTGAAAAAGTCAGGATAGTTTCATTAAAATCCAAGAATTATCTGTTTTTAACAAGCTTTTTCCAAATCAGCGTGTTTTTCACCGCAGAAAGGCGCTCAAATTTGACACAATAATTTATGGTCCCTAATTAACGCCAGAGAAACAAGACTTTTCATAAAAAATTTCGAAGGTTCTAAAAACGATTTGAAAAAAATTGCATAAAAAACCTTTCGGAATTTCCTCTTAATAGTATAAGAAAGACTTTGCTTTGTTTTCATTAAGTTTTGAGAATGCTTTCATTATGTATGGTCATTTTTTCGTGTGAATTTGGCGGTAACTCTCTCTCTCTCTCTCTCTCTATATATATATATATATATATATATATATATATGCTGTTCGATAAAAGTGACTCACCTTATTTTTTTTAATTAAAAGTTTTTTCGCCTATTGTTTTTGGGGTCAAACTAATTTTTAATCTTACTAATATAAAAACCCCTTCCCGATCACCTAGTAAAAAGTTTACTCACCTTAAGGTATTCTATTGATAATTATAATTTTGGATATAAATGAGATTTAGGGAAAAACTCTGTACAAAAAAAAAGTGGCTCACTTATTTCCTGCAACTAGTAATCAATAGAAACATAACCGAACAGCTTTAAATAAAGAATAATAGAGGTATAATTTATTTATAATAGGTAATATAGTTCAAAATATTTAATAATCTATGGGTCCTTTTTTATTTTGAATAAACTTTTCAACCCTTTTTGGCATTGACTTGATTAGGTTCTGTAAATCTCATCTCCAAGTATTGAATTCCATTCGATATGAAATTCACAATCAAATCCTCTTTGTTGCTCAACTGCTTTCTCCAGAACCTGTACTTTATAATGCTCCATAAGTTTTCTATGGGGTTGAGGTCAGGAGATTGGGGCGGCCATATCATAACACTCACCTGCTTCTCATCAAAGTATGCCTTCATCAATTTTGATTTGTGATAGGGAGCATTATCCTGCATAAAAATGAGCTTGGGGGTCGATTTGCACCCTTTCAGCAGAAGGGAACAGACAAGACTCTAAAATTCTCTTGTACTGCTTGCTCCTGAGGGTCTTTTTAATAGGTTTTAAGAAATAAACTATGAAAAGGACAGCATCCACAGTACATTATACTGAACGGATGCTTGACAGTACTTATTGCTAAATTCAAAGAGCTTTCAAAGCTTCTTCTTCGGATTTTAGGTCGCTTATCCTTTGAATTTAGCTCGTTTCGTTTCATCGGAGAAAAGAACATTCTTCCAGTCTTCTACGGCGACATTTTTGTAATAGTGAGCCCATTCAAGTCTCTTGGCTTTGTTGGCTTTGCTTATTAGCGGATTAAACCTTCGTGTACAAGATTTGTAGCTTTGTTCTAATATCCACCGATGGACTGTTGAAGAGACAAGACTCACACCTTGCTCTTCGCTTAGACTGGCTGCAATTTCTTAAATTTCAAGCTGGTTTTATACTGTATGAGGCTTTCTGGAATATTCTGGAATACTCTAGATTTAATTTAAGCTGTTCTAGAATTCTCTAGAATATTGTTCTGAGTGTATTGTAAAATAGTTTTCAATGTTTTGTCAAAAATAAATTTAAATTTACCATATTTAATCATTAGAATGCGATATTTGAGTCACTTTTTTTCACACAGAGTTTTTTTTTTCCTGAATCTCATTTATATTCAAATTTATAATTATCAAGAGAATACGTTAGGGTGAATAAACTTTTTTTCTAGGTGGTCGGGAAGGGGTTTTTATATTAGTAAGATTAAAAATTATTTTAACCCCAAAAAAAATAGACAAAAATATTTTTAGTAAAAAAAAAATCAAGTTGAGTCACTTTTATCGAACTGCATATATATATATATATATATATATATATATATATATATATATGGCGTTAATTAGGGTCCATATATATATATATATATATATATATATATATATTATGTGTGTGTGTGTGTGTAGAAAATTTCTCAGTTAAAACTGCAGAAAAGACAATATTTATAAAGACAATAGGAAAACTGTAAAACGTTCGGATAATATTACAGTTTTCCTTTTGTCTTTTTGCCTTTATATATATATATATATATATATATATATATATATATGGGTGGCTAACCAATCCTATTGTAGACTCTCAATCAGGCACATTTGTATTTGTTCAACACCCACAGAGCCCGCCTGTGGTTTATCCTGCAACTATACTGAGTAGACCTTAGTTACAGTTTCTGGGAGAGAGCGTGTTATCTAGCGTGATTAACAATCTGAACAACGCCAGCACGCTTAAACCCTCGATATCGATGACTTGTGACTTCGTGCCAGAGATTCCAAAGTCGTCTGAAGCCAATGACGATTTTATTGAATACTCTTCAGTATTTCAAGATAGTTTTGTGTAATTTTGGTAAATATATCTACCGACGGGCTCCAAGTTTTCCGTGCACCCAATTTTACTCGCCAGGCTTGGGTCAACTTTCCAATGGTACCTTACGCTGAGATTGCCCCCATCAGGCCGATAACATCAGAATTCTACTTTCTGATATATATATATATATATATATGTGTGTGTGAAGTTATTGTGCTCGAGTGTGTATACCGATGGGTGTAATACAATCAGTCAGGTATGTACAATGCGTGATACACGATACATGACTGACGAGGCAGATTTTTTTCCCGCAGTAGTTTGCTATTTCTTTCTGCGGTAGACTAGTTGCCATCCAAGTCTATAGATCTCGGTCTGTCCTGCTATTTACCCATAGCTGGTGGGAGGAGAAGAGGGTTCATACCTTTCCCAAGGGCAGTAGCACGTAAGTGAATGTAATGGATTCGACTGGAATTCGAACTCGGCTCTCCGATTCCTCAATCCGAGCTGCTATCCATTACTCCACCGTGCCTCTAGATGTAATACACATTGTTTAAAATAAAATGCTGTATGGGTTACCAATAGAAATAACGTTTGAAGTAAGAAAAATGTCGGATTTAAAATTAAATTCATTAATTCTTTTTATACGTTCCGGCTATGAAACTGAGTTCATTTGTGTTTTCGAGAAAAAAAAATCTGAACTTGAAAATGTGCTTTGCTTAAAAATGCTGGGCGGTTCAATACCTGTGCCTGAGCCGTCGAAAAAAAGCCGGATCAAAAACTAGTTTCTTCTACAAAGGAGAGGACATTTTTTTTATTAAGATCTCTCAAGTGCTCAGACCGACAGATGTACAAGGTGCGATGGATAAATTGTCTAAAGTTCGCAATAATGAAAATAAAACTGACATTTTAACAGATATATTTACCAAAATTACACAAAACCATCTTGAAATACTGAAGAGTATTCAATAAAATCGTCATTGGCTTCAGCCATCGCCTCCAGACGACTTTGGAATCTCTTGCAACTCTTCTGGACGGTCTCCTTATTTAAGTTGGTGAATACTACC